TTCTCTTGATTTGGATTTATTTTACCACCCTTTTATTGTCGTCCCCATTATCTGGAAGCAACACAACCTAGTCCACTACTCCATCAGTTTATTCTAGTGTCGGCTAGCTCGGCTTAGGACATGGGTCATTGGGTCCTGCCTGCTGTGCCTTCAAAGAAATCTGAGTGCTCTCTGCACCGAGCTCCCAGGAAATCTCTGCCCACTGAAAATTGTTGAACTATCACAATGAAAATAATCAGTTGAACAAAGTGAATCTCTTGGTAGAGCTGGAAATGGGCTAGACCGTACATGGTTGTATCAATAACTATTTAAGCACCAAGATCAAATTAAGTTTATTCATGTTCGCCTTTCCGGATGAATAGGAAGAACTCGAATAGGAGGAGCACTCACCTGTAGTATGAGTAGGTAGATGTCGGAGAGCCCAAGTATCTCCAGTTTGGCAGCTTTTTAGTACTAAAATTACAGTACCAGGACTGTTGAAATAGAAGAGGGCTTAGTTACGCAAAAGTGAGTGGATAAACAGCACTATAGTCATATAGTGAAGAAACCAAAGTAACAATCCACCCACTCGTGAAATGGAAGCAATAGTAAGCTCAAAAATTGACATCTAACAAATTAGGAAAAATCAAGATGCAACATATAGGTGCCCCATTGCGTCATTACATCATCTACATTGAATGTAACATAACAGAAAAGAAAAAGAAGTAAAGATGGAAATACAAGTCACCACGAAATACCTGAAACCTAGCAAATTGCCTTTATTGGCGGTCATAGTCCTCATTATGGTTTCAAAAGATATTTCCTCAATGTTGATCTTTGGCCAAGATCTCTCATTGCCGTTGAGCATACATCCACATCTCTACTATAAATTCCATCCTTTCCACTAGAGAATAGTAGCTGAACCTGTACTCCTAGCTGCCGCTCCATCCTTTCCACTAGAGAATAGTAGCTGAACCCTGCTTCTCCTAGTCAGCCGCAAGTATTTCTAAGGCTGCTATGTACACCACTTCAATTACAATCCTTCTTCAAATGTTGAGGGATCGTGCACACGCTTTCCAAGGTTGCTTATGGTAGGACCTAGGAATCATAGAGGATTGAGTGGCACCCCAAATTGGGAAAGGGAGAATGGTTAGCCCACCACCGTGGTGTGACTCCGTGGTTGGTGGACGCAAGACAAATAGCCGTAACCTTTTTGCAAATCTAGTAACCGTGAAAAGGGTTGCCCACCAACAGCTTTGGGGTGTGCCAACTTTCCCAAATAATAAGATTTCACCGAGGTCCCTGCTCACGCAAATAATAATTTTGACAATACGTGAGGCGTAGATTGACAAGAAAGTGCCCGTGCTAGTATGTCTAGTGGCACAAGTGCTTCTACCATGAGGCTTTAATATGTTAAAAAAAGTTAAAATGATTCAGAAAGGAGCTTTTTTTCCGGATCGCTGCCACTACCACAAACCGTGATGTGAAAGATACTAATTACAAAAGGGGAAAAGAGAACTTTTGGGCTGCCTAGCTATCCTAACGTGGGACTTCATGAAGATGCCATCCCACTAATAATGGAAGATCCTCTAATGATATCGACTCAAGTGGCAAGCATGTAAACCTGAAATGTTCCTTTCGTGGATCACCCCACCACAAGCAAATTCTCACGTGCGCAAAACCTGATGTGGGGCACTGAATATTAGCACATTATTAGACTTTGATGTGGGCAAAACTCTAACAAGATGACCTGATAGGTACCCAAAATATCCTCCCAGTACTATTGTGAGTTTGACAACAATAAAGGACCACTTTGCCAATCGAACTTTCATTTCCATTGTTCATAAGGATGCACTCATGAAAAGACCACATGAAAGTGTCCTAGATAGTGAGAAACAGCTCTATCTTAACAAAGACAACTACAGCTTAAGCTGTGCCAACAATCAAGATCAGAAACCCCGACAATTCTCAATGCACATGGTTAATTTCCTATAAATAATGCACAAGTAGCATCCATGTATCTTGAATTAGATAGTGGCCAGTATGACTTAAACTGTAACATTTTTAGGGTAACTAATACTAATGGCATTTCATATTAGCATCCATAGGAATAGGAGAGTAATAACTTATTTCACTAGCGGTTGACTTCGGTCCTCGGTTTGGCATTTGTTTGATTCAGGGGAATAGATACATGCCATGAAAACATAGAATGGTCAACTCAAATAATATAGAAGGTTAACTACACGCTTGGAAGACAGATAAATGGGATTTTCAACCTGAAAATACAAAGTTATGTCCTTGTAATTGTGATATTAATGTTACTTACCGATAATGTAAACAATAGGGTGAGTTAACTCCAAGAATAAAATCTGAATTTTCTTTTGCTAAGTTGGGCAATCACTAAAGTTGGGCAATCTGAATTTTCTTTTTGCTAAGTTACCAACATGAGGTCCCAAGTTCTGTAAAAGGAACTGGTCACTAAGAGCACATAATTCAAGAACACTATAAGCCAGGAAAATTAAGTCACGCCGGTTGCATTCCAAAAAAAAAAATTAAGTCTAGAACTTTACAAAGATTTCATTTGTTAAGATAGGGAAGTATTGCTAGGGGAAGAACATTTTCTTCACTGTTTCACACATGTCAAAAGCTATGCAAACTCAAAAGAAAACTGAAGAAAAAAAAATCTCAAACTCTAATGGGCATCATATAATCGAAATATGCATAGGTAAACTTCTTCAAGCGCAAGAGTAGAAGCAAAGCAGAAATTTGAACCTTTGATGCGTCTCAACTCTTTACAGAGGGTGATAAAATCTCATATGGTTTTTCTCTAGCACTACTACTCTCTTGTTCTAAAACTGCAATATCGCCTCTATATATGTTACGATGGATGACCGTCGCGGATGTACACGGGCTATCGAGAAGAGGGGTCAATACACAAATGAATGGATTGAGAAGGCCAATGATTTCATGACGAAGGCATTTGCAAACGGACGGCGACATGCCCGGTGTCCCCTCAGAGGAAGTGTAAGAACAAGGCAATGAAAACATATGAGGAGATGAGTAAAGATCTTGTCAACAATGGATTTGTAGAGAACTATACCCGTGGACCATGCATGGTGAACGCCATCGCAGCGAGAGAAGAGGTCGTGAGACAACGGATCGAGGAGTTTGATTCTGAAGCCGGGGTGGCAGAAATGTTAAATGACCATGACATGGCTTTCGATGAAGGAAGTGCAGAGCAGGAGCCAGAGCAAACTGCAAAGGCGTTTTACGCCATGTTGGATGCGGCACAACAACCCCTTCACGGGCGCAACAACTTGATATGTGTTATCTATTATATGCCTATATATTGATGTCACTGTTAACTGGTCTTTCGAAGGAATATTTGAATTTGGCATACTACCTTATGATTAATTGACAAATATGTTTATTTTCTTTTGCTCTCTCATTCCAGGGACCTTCTACAGCTGGATCGAACAACGATCAAGATTTGGACTTGTCTCCGTTTCTCGGTAGGGCTCCGACCATGTGACAGGACCATGTTTCACTTGTTTGTATGTTGAACTTAGAAGTGGGTTGAACTTTGTGGACTTTGGACATGTTGATGGTGTTTGTGGACTTTGCATTGTGCTTGTGACATTTGTTGTAGCTATATGTTGGTTATAATGAGTGGATGTGACATTTGTGGACATATATGTGATATATAATGTCTATCTGTTGGTAACTGTGATATTCTGTTATAATTGTTGTTAATTGTGGCTGGATATGCACTTGAAACAAAAAAAATATCAGGACAAGTTTTACTGAGTGTTACACTCGGTAATGGTCATGTTTATCGAAAGTGCTACACTATCGGTAAACAGAAAACAACCAAATTGGTTCTGATTCTTTAATTTTGCCGAGTGGTGCCATTTTTACCGAGTGCCACGACCCCACCTCGGATATATGTGCCATTTTTTACCGAGTGGAACACTCGGTTAACGAAGTTATGTGTTTACCGAAAGTTTACCGGTACACTGGTAAACTATATTAGGGAAAAAATATTTGCGGAATTGTTTTAATCATGAAAATGGTTATATGTTTACCGAGTGCTAAGTCTAGCACTTCAGTAAACGCACGCAATTGACGACCGTCACGTCGTAGTTGTTTACAAAGTTTATAGCAATTTGAAGATTTATTCTCCGAGTGCCCGTTATTGACACTCGAAACTAACTTTACCGAGTCGTTGTTTAAGTCATGTTTAAGTGTGGCACTAAAACAATTTACCGAGTGTTTATCCATATTTGCCGAGTGTTTATCACACTCGGTAATTAATCAGTATCCCGTAGTGGATTTTGCACCTGAATATTTTCCTATGCCTTAGATGAAAAAACTTTTGCAAGGAAGATACTGCAGTCTGGGGCTCCTTAGTCATGCACTACTAATACCACTAAAATAATAAAGAATATTAACCTGTATATTGAAGATACATCAGCGTAAAAAAATTTAGAGTTAAATGCATCGTTGATCCATTAACTTTTACTTATGTTTCACTTAGGTCCATCAACTACGAAAGTGGCTTTTTAGGTCCATAAACTTTTGAAGTGATGCATCTTTAATACATACCCCTTTGTTTATCTTTTTAATCTGACGTGCCAGTCTACGGTGTTGAGTCCACGGTCAGCACAGGCAGCGGCGCAGCGGATGGGGGAGAAAGGCTCATCGTCCACGTGCAGCCGCTGCTCCGGCCTGTAAAAGGCGACGCCGAGGTGCTCTCCTCCACCACCCAGCAGCACGCTCATCGCTCGCCTGCTCTCGCTTCGCTTTGCCACGCGTATACCGTATACGGCCGTATGCACGAGCCGGGCTTGACCGTCGTCGCAGGACGAGGTGAGCAGCTCATGAGCATCCCCTTGCTCTTCCCTCCATCCCTGTGGTCTTCGCCCTGCTTCCCTCCGTCCAACCCGAGCTGCCCACGAACTCCACGAGCTCAGCCATGGCGTCGTCCATGCATGAAGCAAGAAGAGCACTCGTGACCCTTGCTAGCTTCTCTCTCTCCCTTCCCATGCATGTGTGTATGACGCGTGGGTCCTAAGCAATAACTCCCGTCTGATCGCCGACTTGATCGCGGTCGGTGACCAGTCTGGGTGCAGGCTCTTGAGGAGCGCCGCGATGCCGCTCAGGTGCGGCGTCGACATGGACGTCCCGGACTCGACGAAGAAGGAGAGGTCGGCCCCGCCGTCGGAGAACTCCGTGTGCGAGTCGCTCGGCGCCCACGCCGCGAGGATGTTCATGCCGGGGCCCGTGATGTCCGGCTTCAGGATGCCCGGGCTCGCCTTGCTCGGCCCACGGGACGAGAAGAAGGTGACCATCGGCGACGGGTACGAGCCGATGATCGTCCCCTTGAAGTCGATGCTCGCCGCCCCGTTGGCCGTGGAGTTGAGGTAGGCCATGATCTTGGCCCCGGCTTCGTAGCTGACGTGCGACGTAGGGAGGACGTGCGCGTCGGCAAAGGTGGTGTACCCCTCCGCCGCCTTGTTCATCACGATCATGCCCACGCCGCCGTACGCCGCCACGGTCTGGCCGGCCTCGATGCGGCCGCTCGGGCCCCTGCTCTCGCAGAGCACCACCTTGCCGGTCACCTCGGCGCTGTGCAGCACGCTGCAGTCGCGGCTGGCGTCGAAGCCGTCCGCGCCGGGGTACACCAGCGGGAGCTGGTCCGCGGCGGAGTTGTTCCTGGACTGGAACAGGGACTCTCCGTGGAACTCCTCGCCGTTGCCGAGCTTCACATTGGTCCGTATCGCGCGGTCCATGGTGCCCGCGGCGACGGTGAGCATCCACGGTGCGCCGTTGCCGACCGTGCCGCCTGCTTGCGACGGAGAGCACCTCGGCTTGCGAGCGTCGCCTGCTTGCGACGACGGTGGCGCTGAGGCGATGGAGCGTGCAGGGGGAGTGATGGCGCGGCAGAGGTGAGTGGAGCAGGGCGGCGTGTGTGCCTTGCTGCAGCGGGTGGCGATGGTGTAGCCAACTTGCTCTGCCGTGGCTCAGGGCGATGGGACGACGCGAGCAGGGTCTGGGTGGCGTGTAGCGGGGGAGGTGAACTGAACGTGAACACGCGGTGGCGAGCTCAGGCGGCATGTGTACGTATACCATGTATGTACGTACGCGTACGCAGACGAACGCGGTCACGTACCTCTAGTCTACTACTCTGGTGACTGATAATGAGATCGAGCAAAGCTACTCAAACGGAGCGAACAGGCAGCAGGGCGGGTCAGCGAACACGTCGGCCTGCGGGAACACCGAGAACGCGCCGAGCCGGCCTTGCAGCAGCGCGAAGTCCTCCATCGCCAGGTCCAGGAACGCCCGGTAGTCGTCGTCCGCCGCAGCCTCGGTCCCGTAGGTCGACGCGGCCGAGGAATCGTCGCCGCCGAGCTCAGCAGGCAGCGCCTGCGCCACACCCAGCAGCCGCCGCACTCGCCTCCGGACCATGCCCTGCCTGCGCGACTGCGCCGCGGAAAGAATCCCCGACCCGGTTCCAGAGGCGCACAAGCGGCGCTGGGCGGCAGCAGCGCCCTCGCCGGACGACGACGTCGCGCCGCTTTTGTGGCCGAGGACTTGAGCATCCGCTGCGCGACGCTGCCTGCGCCCTCGCCGCTGACCGTGGACTCGACACCGTGGACTGCCACGTCAGATTAAAAAGATAAATAAAGGGTATGGATTATAGATGCATCACTTCAAAAGTTTATGGACCTGAAAAGCCACTTTCGTAGTTGATGGACCTAAGCGAAACATGGGTAAAAGTTAATGGATCAACGATGCATTTAACTCAAAAATTTATAAGCACTGAGATGAAATCTGGTTCCATTTGAATAAGAAAAAAAGACATATGTGAGTAAGAATTTTATTACCTTTAAGGTATTCCAGTGATCATGTGCAATGAAAAATGGATTGCTCATACATGATATATGGAATATAGTCTATAACTGATAGATCTGTATTGGACAGGGTCTTGTCCTAAAATGCTTATCTGCAAGAAATTTGTCAGTAAGCACTAGGACAGTTATCAAAACAACCTTACTGTTGTCCCATTGTAGGATTACATGTGACCCTGCATCTTTATGATCTCCTAACACATCTTGGTAGCAAAAGAAAATAAACAATATAAGTAAATCTTTCAATACTCAGTGCCTACCAAAACTGCAAAAGATAAAGTTGCAATTATAGAATTCTTAGTACATTATGCTTTGCCTTACAGAGTTTGATTGCATCTCAGGATGAGCCCCTGGAAATAAAATAGTCATGATGCAAACAGTAAAACATCTATATATGGAGCAGAAGGACAGTTCACTTTGAAGATAGTCCAGAAAAATATCATCCAATAACACATACTCAGGAAATTGCGTGGTACAGGAGGACAGATCCTTACAGAGTTTCTTCCAAAATAAATAAGCCTGGCGCTGCTGGCTAGCACCATCAATCAAAACCATATATTCATCTAAAAGAGTGTTCTTGGCACCATCTATATTCCACCAGGAGAACGTTTGAGAACTTGCAATTTCAGATTTCTAAAATCCAAGACCTAAAATAAATAATTTAGATCAAAACAACATACCTGGTCATACATCCAAGCAAATGAATTCCTACTAAAACTCTGATATCATAGCCAATATTTAATAACGACTAACATGGTTCTCACAGATCACGATGAACCAAAACACAGATGTGAAGGAGAAGGAACAGACCAGAGATAAACCTAAGGAGGTAGGTATGTTGCAGGGCCATAATGCGGAATCGAGTGGGAGAGCAATCAATACCTCAGATCCGGTGGTGGCCGCTGTAATTCCAATCGTCCTCGCAGATGGATCTAAATCAGCTCGCCAACAGGCGATCGTGCCTGGAGATCATGTTGCAACCTCGAAAGGGGAGGAGGGGAGGGGAGGGGAGGAGAGGGGGGTCAAGAGTCGAACTGCAAGATCAAGGAGGTGCTCGTGAGGAAACCGACGGCAGGCGGAGGAGCTAGGTCGTCTTTGATGGCTGAAATAAAATAGCATGGGAGGTTACTTAGACGTGGACGTGGGGAGGTAAGTTGTGTATCTGGCTATCCGCAACACATGTATTTTACGTTGGAAGGCATACGTTGCTACATGGGGGTTGGTGTTGTAGTCTTGCGAAATATATAGTGGAAACCATCTACAAGAGTACTAGGTGGAAACATGGTAATCAATTCGGAAACGTCATTTGGTCATTAAAAAACAAATTTCATATATCCATAGTGCATACAAGTATATACTCACATGCAAAAGTTGAGATGCAATGTTGGGTGGAAACATGCTTCCACCGCAGCATGTTGGGTGTCTTTTCAAGTCTGACGGTGAGTTCGCGGGCACTAGAGTGGATCATTCGCTTTGGGTTAAAATTTCCACGTTTTGCTGAAACCGCATACGTCACGCTCCTGCGCTTGTGTCATGTGTTGTAGAACTTGCGCATTGTTGGCACCCATATATATTTTGATTTCTCGACTCTTCACGTGTATGCTCGTATTTTTGGTTAATATTATCTCGATGATAGGTCACATATCTTACATGGTTTTAGTAATTTGTCAATCTCAATATATGTTTAGTCTCTTAGAAATGCTCAGAGAGGTTACTCTTGTGTGGACGTGCATCTACAAGGTTGAGTGCGCACTCGCATATATGATCGACAGTAGATGTATTGCTGTCTCGGAAACAAGAAATGGAATGGTCGAATTTGGCAAGTCGTCCCACTAACTGGATATACTATGAAAATATGTTAGTTTTTTCCCAAAAAAAAACTTAATGTGTTAGTTTTTTTTCTCAAATTTGACTAAATCTATAAAAAGATTGTCAATATTATGATGGTAAATAGATATACTATGAAAATATGTTTCGTAACTGATCTAGATATTTATTAGTAATATATAAATATTAGTATCTTTTTGTATAAAATCTAAATTTGTCTTAGAACAAAACTAAAACATCGAGTTTTTTTACAGGGCTAGTAGTTTGCTGGTTTTCTATTTCCTTGAAAACTATTAATTGTACGAGAAGGATCGTTACAACTTTGGCGTATATTTCAATTAGAGCTTGCAGTATACTCGTTATCCGGAAAAAAGTTGTGAAACAAGATAGTCATGGGAGGTTGCAAATTTAGCTACCAGGCATGCAAGCGAGCCGCTCTGCAGACGTCTACACGCCGCCGCTACTGTCCGCAACAATAATTTGCAGGCTATGCGGGCGCCCGCTACCTGGAGTGTGCTGGCCGCAAACGCCCACTAGTCCTAGTGGTCCAAACCTGCAAAGCCTAGCAGGACCCGCAAGGACTTTTTTTTTTCTGAATGAGAGAGACACTAATGCGCTGACTCTACTCACATTTAAATATCACCGAATCATATAAAAAGCAAATTAATGCTAAAATATAATCACACTGCAGGAATAAGTACAAAATGACAGTATTATTACATCTGGAAGCCATAATACAGAGAAATTTTAATTGCAATGAATCTTTAATTGAAATAACATGTGACATTCACACCGGAACATCTCCCGTTGCTTTTCCAATCACAACCGTCAAAAGATTGCCAGCAGAACTGAAAGCTCCAGGCCTTCTGGACAACATGATTAAAAAATACGACACAATTCGTGCTGAACATAAATTAAATAACTCTACTTGCTCAATTGTATGCAAAAGGATTTTTGGAACATCATGTTTGAAAGATTGCACAACTAGCAAGGAACGGCTCTGTTGCATAAATAAGGAATGGTTCTGTTGCATAAAGAGGCTTGTGGAATGAAATGAACATGAAAGTTGCATATTCTTCGGGGCATCCATTCTCTCCGCAAGATGAACACAACTGAAAATTATAGAGACAACATATATATTAGTCAATCACATGTGCTGCAGGTTTGATGATCTTCCCCGGGATCTTTAGCGCGTGTTTAGTTCCACCCCAAATTCTCAAAAAGTGCTACAGTACTCATCACATCGAATCTTGCGATACATGCATGGAGCATTAAATGTAGACGAAAAAAAAACTAATTGCACAGTTTGGTTGGAATTGTGATATGTTTTGAGCTGCAGGTTTGATAAAAACGAAAGTCTTTCCCAAATTCATCTTTTAGGACAAGTAGAGCTAACTGCTGCATGCTTGATGATGATGTGCCAATCTAATGCATGGTGCTACCATCTTTTTACATGGAAAACTCAGTACACTGTAGGTTATCTAAGTGCAGTGCAAAAATATCAAATATATAGCCCAGCCACAAAGCAATGGAACAAGTAGATCGAGCTGTGAATCGGGCCCAGTCAATCATATGTGCTGCAGGTTTGATGATCTTCCCCGGGATCTTTAGGACAAGTAGAGCTAACTGCTGCATGCTTGATGATGATGTGCCAATCTAATGCATGGTGCTACCATCTTTTTACATGGAAAACTCAGTACACTGTAGGTTGTCTAAGTGCAGTGCAAAAATATCAAATATATAGCCCAGCCACAAAGCAATGGAACAATCACCATTTGTTGTTCTGTATGGACATGAATCGGGCCAATTCGGAATCTCAGAGCTGGATGTCTGTCCCCAACCTGGGCTTCAGTCATGGCAAAGTGAATGCTCTGTCATGCAGCAATTGGTACACCAGCACCTGCAGTGTGCTCAGAAGCGTATGAAATAGCAAGCAGACATGTGGCGATCTGAGTGCCAGTTTGAGGTTGGTGATTCAGTATATCGATCTAAAACTGCAACCTTATGTTCAATCGTCAGTGGCTTCTCGCTCTTCAAACAAGGTGTCATTCCGCTTCTTCAGGTCTTTCACCATTACACAGAAGATCGGCTCTGTTGCTTATCGCTTGTTGCTGCCACCATATTCCTCTATACATCCGGTGTTCCATGTCTCACAATTGAAGAAGGCTGTCTCTCCTTCGCACTCGGTGAGTCCATCTTTACCTGACATAACTGATGAGTTGCAGGTCCCAATTGCAGTTCTGGACAGACGTCTTCACCGTCTTCCTGACAAGATTGTACCCCAGCTGTTGATCCACCAGTCCAACTCTCCCCCAACTCTTGCCACCTGGGAAGATGAAATCACCGTCAAGCAACAGTTTCCTCGCGCACCAGCTTGGGGTCAACTGGTTCTCAAGGACGGAGGGATGTTACCAGCTCTGCTTCTACTCCACCAACTCAGTCCGCGACGGCCCAAGCCTAGGCGTCTGAAGGAACCCGTGCCTCGCTTGAAGCGACCCAACCCAAAATATGTAGGCCCAAAATGGAAGTAGAGAGAGAGGCCCAACGCGGCTATGTAACGATCTTCTTAAGCTACTCCTGTAACGTAAACAACCTGTCTTGGATGCTAAGAAACGAACCCGAACCGACTAAGCGTTAGGCTGCAGGTGGCGAGATTTGTTGTCGTGTATCCAATTCCTACCACCATAGCTATCAAATTCCTAGTTCCAATATCTAGATCGGTAACTCATA